TATGAATGCTCCCACTCTGATGTCTCATGGCTGATTGATCTAAGGGGTGCATCTCCCTCGGGTAGGTGGGTGCATCACCCTGGGGTAGGTGTTCTGCTTGTACGTCTTTCTACTGTTGGGCTGAGAGCCAATCCACCAAAGTGTGTCTATTTCCAGGCCTAAATAATAATTAAAAAAAAAAAAAAAAAAGAATACCCCATAATATTCTCTATGACTCATCTCTATGATATGGCTTATGTTTCAACTAGAAAAACAAAATCTAACAGGTAACTACTGGGAAGAAGTAGGAGGGGAGCTGTTGCATTGGGGTAAACTGTAACTGTAGTCAATGTCATGAGACAAAGTATATGTGAACTGCTGCATGGAAAGTGAATCTGCTCTGTAAACTTTCACCCAAATCACAATTTTAAAAAAAAAGAAATCTCAGTTTCTCCCTAAACTCTGGGCCTGATTTAATCCCCAGCCTGCCCCTTTCCTTTGCACAGTCAAAAGCAAAGAGCTAAATATAGAAATAGAGGGCTCCCTGGATAATCCAGCGCAAGACCTTCTTAGTCCTCAAGGGTGTCACACTCTCTTGATTCCTATGGTAGAATTTCACATGAGGGAACGGAATCCCAACATAATTTTTTTGCCTTGCTCTGGGAAGATTCAGATTATGATCTCGGGGAGCAGTATCCCAAGTATTAGTGCTCATCCCCACACACACAATGTCCCTGTATGATGATCTGCAGGGTAGCCTGGGGTACATGAGATGAAGGTCTCAAGGGATCCTAGTTTTCTATTCTGATCTTATCCAACAGTGGGAAGGACCTACCAATAGCATCTCAGGTCTAGTAGGTGGATGAGGGAGAAGGGACACCTGTTCCACAGGGACATGTTCTTCCTTAACCTCAGAAATAAGCTCTCAACCATCTGTCTTAATGACAAAACCCAGAGACTGAGATAGAGACCATGTCAATGGAGCCACAATGTGTAATATGACTTCCTTAATACTTGGCAAGAGAATATAATCAAGAAGCAATAGGTCACCAAGTCTCCAGGGAAGGGAAGCTCTACCCCCTGAAAATTATAGCTCAGCAGTGTTTTCAGATGACTGTGCAGAGGACAAGGGATATGATGGGTGTGAATGGCAGCCCCAATTAGGAACCCTAAAACCAGAGGGAGCTCTGCCATTTATCTTGTCTGGTTTATGACGCAAAAAAGCAAAATGTCCCTTATGATGGGGCATTGTGATGGGCCTTTGAAGGCTAGAGTGCTCCATGGGGTGCTGCAGACATCTCCACACTGGGGAATCATTTCCAGTATCATGAAACTCTGGAAAGTCCAGCTCCTGTTTCCAACCCAGGAGATGGATACAAAACTAGCCATCTGCATCTGTGAATAGGATGATGGCTTTAAGAGATGTGCAGATTTGACCAATCAAGCTTTTTTCTAAAACTGTTCAAACTCTGGCAGACACTCTGGAGACATACAACAGAACCACACAGAGATAAGATGTGAGATGATGAGAAAGAGAGATGCAGAAAACAAGTGTAAAAAGACACACCCATCAAAAATCCATCACCATTGACTCAATTCTGACTCATAGCAACCCTATAGGACAGAGTAGAACCCATTGGGTTTCCAAGGCTGTAATCTTTATAGCAGGAACTCTGGTGATATATTTGTTAAAAGAGTTGACTGCTAAATAAAAGTTTGGCAGTTTGACCCCACCATCTGCTCTGTGAGAGAAAGATTAGGCAGTCTGCTTCTGTAAAGATTTCTAGCCTTGGAAATCCTCTGGGGCAGTTCTACTCTGTTACTCTGTCCTATATGGTCACTATGAGTCAGAATTGACTCAATGGCAGTGTATTTTGCTTGTGGGACTTTTTTTTTTTTTTTTTTTGGTCTTTACAGAAGCCGATTGTCACATCTTTTTTCCACAGAGCAGCTAATGGGTGTGAACTATCACCGGTCTTCAGGTTAGCAGCCAAGTGCTTAACGACTGCACCACCAAGGCTCCTCAAAAAGACACAGAAAGACAGAAAAAGAGATACAGAAAAACAATGACAATGATACATAGAAAAAGACATAGACAGAAACCCGTAAGAGGCAGAAGTTTAGAAACAGACATAAAAAGATCCAGAGGGACACAGAAAAACATAGGAATGAAAAATGACACTAAGAAAAAGAGAAAAGAACAGAGATAGAGATATGATAGAAAGAGAAAAGAAAGTTCTCGTTGAATACCTGGATCTAGTCATTTCTGAAATCAACTTGACCCCAGACTTCCTTGTAACATGAACAAAATAAATTTGAGTTAGGTACTTTTATTGCTGGTTACACTTTCTCAAAAACAAAAATTGGCTTTAATCAGTATGACTTACCAGGATATATCTGAAACATTTTTTTTAGTTATTTATGAAGCTAGGGGTTCACTATATCTGTCCACAAAAAATTCCCTTTTGCTTAATTACACAGTACTCACAAACTGGAAGAGAGACTAGGATATCTTAAGGGCACTGGGCTGAACATCAGTATGACAGAACTAGGAGGGATATAACAATTGAATTGATTTTCTATGTCCTCTATCCACCCTTCTATGGCACTGAGCCCTTCCTTCTGGCCATGGGTTTTGACGTTGGCTGGATCATCTCAAAATATGTTCCTTTCATTCTACAGTAATTTGCTGCTCCTGTGCAGTTGAGGAGGCTCAGGGTCCAGATAAATCATAAACCAAACCAAATCTACCACCATGGAGTAGATAGTAAACCCGCTAGGACAGAGTAAAACTGCCCCATAGGGTTTCCAAGGCTGTAAATCTTTACATAAGCAGACTGCCACATCTTTTTCCTACTGTTAACAGCTGAGCGCTTAACCACTGTGCCAACAGATAACTCATATTCATGTTTAATGATTATAAAAGTTCTATAGTCAAGTAAATGGGTTCAATGTGTATATCTCGAGCAGACTATAAGAGAAGGGGAAAATTGAAACAAAAAGTCCTTAGGCTCGAGCAGATGCACCTGGCAGTACGGAAGGCAGAGGCAGAGGGAAGAGTGCAGGAAGCAGGGTCACAAACTCTGCCCTCGAGATAGGGGTCACAGGAGGGACCTAGTGGCTGCCTCAGTCACTACAGCGCTCTGATCACAGAGGGAGATGAGGCTGCCACAGGCGGCTGGGAATTCTGGATAAGGATGAGGCAGGCATTACAGAAGTATAATCAATTCCAGTCAAAAAGTCCTCAGGAGTCAGTGCAGGAGCCCTGCAGGAGAGAGGGAAAATGATTGGAATACAGCTCCCTAAGGTTGTTCCCCAAAATCAAGCCATAACTTTAGTGGCATCTTTCTATGAAACTTGGAACCAGAGCCATGTTTTTCAAGTGTTAGATAACAGGGCAAGGTCTCCTTTGTGGCACACATTGGTGGTTACTGCCCTGCAGGCATTTATCAATAACTGAAAGAGGATACTGATGATAAGAAGAAGGTGAGTTATTACCCAATTTACTAGCAAGATTGGCACAACTTGTCCCTAACACTTCCTATTCCTTGGAAGGCTAACAGCTCCTCCCCAACACATCTTTTTAAGTTGGAGTTCTGTAATGACATGCTGTGGACCTGAGTTTTCTCTCTGTGATGCTGCAGGGGGCTCTGAGGGAAGGGGAGAGGGTGTGTGTCCCTTGTTGTTGTTGTTGTTATGTGCCGTCGAGTCGGCCCTGACTCATAGCGACCCCTCCTTGGGTTTCCGAGGCAGTATCACTACAGAAGTAGGAATGCCCAACCTTCCTTCCGAGGAGGGGTCGCTATGAGTCGGGGCCGACTCGACGGCAAACAACAACAACAACAACAAGGGACACACACCCTCTCCCCTTCCCTCAGAGCCCCCTGCAGCATCACAGAGAGAAAACTCAGGTCCACGGCATGCCATTACAGAACTCCAACTTAAAAAGATGTGTGGGGGAGGAGCTGTTAGCCTTCCAAGGAATAGGAAGTGTTAGGGACAAGTTGTGCCAATCTTGCTAGTAAATTGGGTAATAACTCACCTTCTTATCATCAGTATCCTCTTTCAGTTACTGATAAATGCCTGCAGGGCAGTAGCCACCAATGTGTGCCACAAAGGAGACCTTGCCCTGTTATCTAACACATGAAAAACATGGCTCTGGTTCCAAGTTTCATAGAAAGATGCCACTAAAGTTATGGCTTGATTTTGGGGAACAACTTCTGGGCCCTCCTACAGAAGCTAGGTAAACTTTGCCCCAATTCTTGATCTGAGTAGCAGGGAATACACCGTGAGACAAGACCACTGAGCCCAGCTATACCTCATACCTTTCCCTCTGATACTTGCTCCCCTGTCACCACTAGAGCAGAAAAGAAATGTTACCTGTTGGTGCAGGCCCAGGAGTTCCTACAAAAGGAAGTTATACAGAGAAAAGTCTCATTACACAAATAGCCACTCTTACCCCAAAGGATGTGAGATATGCAACTTAATTAAAACAAAACAAAACAAAACAAAACCAATGGCATTAAGTCAATTCTGACTCATAGTGACCCCCTTTGGGTTTCCGAGGTAGTAAATCTTTATGGAAGTAGATTTCCCTGTTTTCCTTATGTGGAGTGGCTGGTAGGTTTGAACCACTAACTTTCTGGTTAGTAGTCATGTGCCTTAGGCACTGTACCACCAGAGCTCCTTATGCAACTTAATAGGCGTTATATTCTATCTCATCTATGTACCATAAGACTTTAACTGTCCCAAGACAGAACTCTTAAAATGAACGAAAAGATCACTAGAAGAAAGGAACCCCAAGGCTCTGACCCTCTTAATGGAGAAAGCTTTCAGAATGAAGCCAGTGAGGCAATGATAAACTGTAAGAAAGCCCTGGAATAAAATCCACCAGTCACCTCTGTAATAGGGCTACCTTTCAACTGGTAAAATAGATTCCAATGTCTCCCTCCTGGTTGTTTCATTTCTTGTACCCCCCACCCAGCTCCCTTCCTTTCAGGGTCAGGAGGAAAGAACTATACCTAAGGCACAGGCCTCTCTGAACAGAGTAACTCAGTCAAAGCCCACCTTCCCCATTTCCCACCAGAGGTCCTTACCTTTCTGACCCCTACGATGGATGATAAAGCCCAGGCCAAGGAAAATCAGCCCCAGCACGAAGCCCCCGATACCACTCAGCATCTTGCTCTGGGCAGATTCAGACTGTGCCTCTGGGGAGCAGAAAAGCCTGAGTGTCAGCATTTGTCCCCACACCCTGAAATCCAGTCTAAGGTACAGGAGGAGTAAGGCTAGATTCAAGGGAATCGAGCTCTCCATTCAGACCCTACCTAGGTGAAAAAGGAATGACCAAGAGATTTTGGCATAGTAGCTAGGTGAGAGAGAAGGGGGAAGTGAACCCCTGTTCCTAAGGGATACATCCATCCTTAGAGCCTAAGATCCCAGTCACTAGCCTTAATAGTCAGTTCCTCAGACCTTTCAAGGCTAAGTTCCAGAACCATAGTGTGGATCTAAAAAGACAGTGAGATCAGAATTCTTTTGATGTCCTTGTCATAGTTTAAGAGGTGGTCTAGTCTCCTGTGGTTCTTGGCTCAGTAGTGACCTCAGGGATAAGGGATGGGATGGGGCAGGCCACAGAAAGCTCTGCCCTCATCTTGTAAGGCCCTGAGTGAAAGTAAACTGGCCCTTACGCCAATCCACTGTGATGGGGCTCTGGAGGCTGGGGTGCTCCACTCGGCAGGTGTAGACATCTCCACGCTGAGGAGTAACTTCCAGCATCACATGAATCTGGTAGGTCCAGTCCCCATTCCTAATAAGAGAGGTGGACACAACGCCCGCTGTCTCCTCCTGGTTATTCCGGAACCACCAGACTTTGATTTGGCCTGGATAGAAATCTGTTACCAAGCAGATCAACAGGTTGTGGTGGTTTAGAGCCTCTGTCTTGGCAGGGGAGATGGTCACTGTAGGCTCCACTAAGGGAAGTAACAGACAGAAAAAGACATAGTGAGTGAGATGTGAGGCCACATGGCAGGTCTCACCATGACGAAAATGCCCTCCTTAATACCAGAGTAGAAAGATCCCTGGATTCTAAGTTTTGGCTCAGAATCTGAACTTCAACACTTACTAGCTTGATGATATGCATTAGTCAGTTTACATTTCAGAATCTCAACAGATAATAAAGATCATTCTTTGGGAGTTACTACTGACAAAACTGAAGCACTTTCACATTAGAAGTCATATATTTTATAGGCCAATATTCATGAATTAAAAACAATAATAATAAGGATTGGCTCTGGTGACTCACTCTAGGACCATGATACTGTTTCTATTAGTCCCAGTGCTCCCCACAGTAGAGTACCTGGAATAGCCTTGACTCTCATCTGTTGGGGTGAGATCATCAACACTGGTTATGGCCCCATGAATAATAACATGGGCTGAGAATGAAGAATGCATACACATTTCCATGTCTGGTCTTAACAAAGCAGGGCAATAGTGATCATCATATCTCTCCCACAAAGCAATGCTTCTCAATAGGCTCTAGTCTGTAATTCTCAGCCCGAAATTTTAACAAAATTTGCGTGCAAGAACACTTCTTAAACATTGTTTGTTAACACAGCATTCCTCTTAGCATTTAACTTAGCTCAAATGCCCTTCTATAGTGAACTATCCACAAAAATTACATTGTTATTGTTATGTGCCATTGAATCGTCTCCGACTCATAGCAACCCCTCCTTGGGTTTCCCAGGCAGTATCACTACGGAAGTAGATTGCCCACCTTCCTTCTGAGGAGTGGCTGGTGGGTCTGAACCACCAACCTTCTGGTTAGGAGTCAAGTGAAATTACATTATAAATGATAAATTTTTATTTCCATATCACATATGCTATCTACACTTCATTTCATTTATTCATGGATTTGTTCATCTAACAAATATATTTGATGAATGTGGTGGATCCAAGGCAAACAACAGACTGTGGTCACAACCACAAACTTTATAAAATTTGACATTCAGTAATGGAGACAAAGAAATGAATGTATTATTCTAAAATTATGGATGTTTTGAAGGAAACCTAGGGAAGCTTTGAAAACAAAACCAACAAAACATCATGTTTGCCCATATTTCAATTTCTTTATCTTCTCAGATTGCTGTTCATGATCAGGTAGACACACCTTTCCTTCCTATTTTACATATTGTATCCTCTACTTCTCAAACCATTTCATTGTACCTCCCTTATTCCCTTCATTTAAACTATAGCAAATATAATGCATGCTTTATTTATTTGATAATATGTTCTCTAATTTACCTTTTTCTCTAATTTTCTTTTAACATGTAAGTTAGTTTAATTACTAGCTGCCTATCCCACTCTAAGTTTCCAGGATGGCACCAAAGGTTTGCACTCATCTACTAATGTAACGGTTGGCTATTCAAATCTACCCAGCAATGCTATGGAAGAAGAGCCTGATGATCTGTTTCCATAAATATTGCAGCAAAGAAAACTTTATGAAGCAGTTCTGCTCTGCAAAACCTGGGGTTGCCATGAACCAGAATTAACTCTAAGGCAACTGGCTTTTTTTTTTTTTTTTATCCTGCTCAATTCCCTTGCCATTAAGAATTACTTCTTTGAGGAAGGGCTGCTTATGCACAGGGAGACAGCTCAGGGGGCAGGAGAGTATGGAGGGATGGACACTGGGAAGAGGTAACTATGGGGAGGAAGTGGGAGGGGAGCTGTTGCATTGTGGTAAACTGTGGTCAATGACATGAAACAAATTATATGTGAACTGCTGTATGGTAAGTGAATTTGCTCTGTAAATCTTCACCCAAATCACAATTAAAAAAAAAAAAAAAAGAATTACTTCTTTGCTCTGAAATCAGACATTGTCATGTATATTCTCTATAGAAAATATTCTGAGATTTGTGCAGAGGTTGACCTGGGTTAATGAGAACAGAATGTGAACATGTAAGTATAACCAGGACATGCTGACGTCAGCAGGTGGCCTCAGTACCTCCAATTACAACAGTCATCATCTCAAAGGAATCATATTCAGAATTTTAACTCTTGTTCAGGCTAAACCTTGTGGAATTTAACAGAAATTGTGGCCAGCTACATGGACTCATAAAATCTGTTCACATTAAGCAGAATGGGAGTAAAAATAGAGGGCACAAGTTTGAGAGGAAAATGCTAAAATAATTCTTATGAAAAATAACTGAAATAGCAAACATGTAAGTACCTAGTGACAATAGGATGTGGGCCTGATAAAGTAAGAGAGTGTAAAGTAAGCTATGCATGTTATGTGAACATGCATAGATAATGGTGGAGTCAGATTAAGATAATCTGTGAATTTTCAGACACTTGTAAGTATTATTTTGTCCCATCGACAATGAAAATGGGCAAAATAAGACTCACCTTGCTGCTTTAGATCATACCTGGCTTTAACGAGGTTTTGCTTCCATTAGACACTTTATGGTAAAAAAACATTAACCTCTGTGTGCTTTGGGGAGATGGGATAGGTAATTTTATGTTTCAACTTGACTAGGCTCTGGTTCCCAATTGTTTAGCCAAACACTAGACTAGTTGCTGTCATGGAGTAGTTAACCAGTTGCTGTGAAGTCAATTTGGACTCCTGGTAACCCCATGTGTGTCAGAGTAGAGCTGTGCTCCACAGTGTTTTAAATGACTGATTTTTCAGAAGTAGATCACTAGGCCTTTCTTCCAAGGCACTTCTTCCAAGGCACCTCTCGGTGAACCCTAACTTCCAGTTAGCAGCCAGCACATTAACCGTTTGCCCCACCCAGAGACTCCATGGTTCCAAGTTGGCTTTAGGTAAAGGAGATTACCTTCCATAATATAATCACTTGACATCCAATGTCATGTAATGTAATTACCTTCCATAATGTAATGTGATATGATCACCTTCCATAATACAATCTGATGTAATCTAATTAATGTCATCAATCAGTTGAGGTCATACTTACAAAAAGACCAGAAAAGACACACACATAGGAGAAGACAGACAGGTGAGGACAATCTCCAAGCAAAGGAACACCAAGGATCACCAGCAGATACCAGAAACTAGGAGAGAGGCTCACAGAAGGAATCAAAATAGCTGAGACCCTGATTTGGACTTTTAGCCTCCAGAACTGGAAGAAAATAAACTTTTGCTCATTAAAGCCATCCACTTGTGGCATCTGTATTAAAGAAGCACTAGAGAACTAAGACCAGAGGCTTCAGGATCTGGTGAGTAACTGTGGGTTAATTACTTACAAATGTTTATTTACAAATTAACATCTATAAAATGGTAATGCTAATTTCTTACTCACATCATAGCTGTGAAATTAAATGTCATAATATAGGTGGTATTATCTAGAAACAAAGGCTCATTAAATGGATATAATTATCTTTCAGACTGCGTGCACCTAAGGAGGATGGCAATACTAGGGGAAGGGAGTAGAGGAGGGGATAGTCTAGGCCAGAGATACCTGCAACAGTTTTGATTCAACAATTTAATGGCTTCAATTTATTTATTCCAAAACTCCAGCTCTTTCCATTATGCTATGTTTTGAGCTTTTTAAGAAATCAAAAGGGAGAAATAAAAAAATTTGTCCCACAACCATCCAAGTGTTATTTTTATTTTTAGCAAAGTTGTCCCCAGACTTTTCATTCACAAACTGTAAATTATAAAAATCCAAATCAATTATAGTTTACTTTAAAATGTTTTGCTTTAAATAAAATAGTAAATAATTTTAATAAAGTCGGTATTTAAGGGTACATTCACCCTTGTTTTCTCTTGCACTTAAGTGCATGGGTAAGAAGTATAGTTATTCACTAATTTAACAGACATTTATTGTGCTCATACTACATGTCAGTCCATGTGTCAGGTATTAGGCATACAAGGATAAATTAAGATAGTCTCTTGCCTCAAAGAGCTCCTGGACTAGTGTAGTGATGTTGTTGTTGTTGTTGTTATGTGCCGTCGAGTCGGCCCCGACTCATAGCGACCCCTCCTTGGGTTTCCGAGGCAGTATCACTACGGAAGTAGGATTGCCCAACCTTCCTTCCGAGGAGTGGCTGGTGGGTTTGAACCGCCAGCCGTCTGGTTAGCAGGCAAGTGTCTTAGCCACTATGCTACCAGAGTGATAGTCACTTAAAACGTGATTAAGATTAATAATAATTAAAAATTTTAAAGTCAAAATGTAATAAAATTCTATACACTATATTAAGGAGCTCTGGTTGCGTAGTGGATAAAGCATTTGGCTGCTAACCAGAAGATCAGTGGTTCAAACCACCAGCTGCTCCACGGAAGGAAGACGGAGCGATCAATTTCCGCAACGATTTACAGCCTCACAAACCAACCCGGGTCGCTATGAGTCGAAATGGACTCGATGGTAGTGAGTTTGGTTTGGTTTTGGTTTTATACACTTTAAAAACAAACAACCAAACTCACTGCCGTCGAGGCGGATCCCACTCATAGCGACCGCTCCTTGGGTTTCCGAGGCAGTATCACTACTGAGGTAGATTGCCCCATCTTCCTTCCGAGGAGTGGCTGGTGGGTTTGAACCAGCAGGCTTCTGGTTGGCAGTCAAATGCCTTAGGCATTACCATATGTGCAAAGAGCGGCCCTGGAGCCATCCTAACTCCACCAGGCTGAGCTTGTTGAGGGGGTTCAGCAATGCTAGCTCCAAAGATGAGCCTCCCTGACTTAGTTCATAGACGTGGGGGCAGGAGAGGAGGGAGGCAGGACCCTCAGAGCAGACAGTTGAGGCAGAGGGAAGGAAGCGGGAGGCAAACCTAAGGCGCGAGGCGGGAATGAGCTGAATTCGAGCCGAACAGACAGCAAAGGACCAGGCCTACGAGGGCGCCTGGGGCCAGACCGGGCGGGTGGCTGATGTCTGTTCCCTCCTCCCCTCCGTTCCAGCCCCCGTGGCCGAAACCCGCCGGGCCTGCCCGGCCCCTCGGTGGATCCCGGGCATCGGTCTACCCGGCGCCCCCATCCCCCGACCCCACCTGGGTCCGGGCCGCCCGCGCTCCCCGAATCGGGCCGCTGCCCTGCGGCTGAGGTAGGCCGCGGAGGGAGGGCGAGCGGCCTTGCTCACCTAGGCGCCGAAAGGTCGTGAAGGTTTCTATCTGGTAGTTGTGTCTGCACACGGTGTCCAGCTCGGCCCGGTCCCGCTCCAGGACGTCCTTCTGGCTTCTCCAGTACTCGGCGGACCGCCGCCCCACCTCGGTCACCGGCACGTAATCCCCCACGTCGCTGTCGAAGCGCACCACCTCCATGCGGTTATAGATGTATCTCTTCACATACTTCACCCGCTCCGTCCCGTTGATGAAGAAGCAGCGGCACTTACCCTGGAACACGAAATCCTCTGCGGGGAGTCACAGGCCGGTCACTCAGGCGTCGGCCCGCCTCAGTCCGGTCCCTCAGCGCGCGGACTGCTCGGCGGCGCCGCGGCCACTCAGGTGGATAAGCCTGAAACAGCGCCGCGGGCCCACGGGGAGCCTCGGGCGCCGCCGGGCCCTGGTCCCAGACCCAGTCCGCCCGGCGCCTCCCGCTCCAACCAGGGACTCTCCACGGGGCTCTTTCCCAGCCTCTCTCCCTCTGCTCACAGGGCTTCCAGAATTGGCCTTCGCACAGGACCAACCCAAAACCAAACCCACTGCGGTTCGGCCGATTCCAACTCATAGCGACCCGCTGGGGCAGAGTAGAACTACCCCATTGGGTTTCCAAGGCTATAAATCTTTATGGTTTCGGTCTGTTGTGCGTAGAGTCACTGTGAGTTGGAGCTGACTGAACGGCACCTAACAACAACAACAAGAAATCTTGACCGAAGCAGACAGCCTCGTCTTTCTCCCGCGGAGCGGCTGGTGTGCTCGAACTGCTAATCTTTTGGTTAGCAGTGAAAGCTCTAACCGCTGCTCCGATGCTAATACTGCTGGTTAGGGACCAATTCTGAGACCACTTAGTGGAGCTAAAAACTCTCTGTCGTCCAGTCGAATCCAACTCATAGTGAGCCCTCCTTGGATTTCCAAGGGGTATCTCTACGGAAGTAAATTGCCCAGCCTTCCTTCCGAGGAGTGCCTGGTGGGTTTGAACGGCCAGCATTTTGGTTAGCAGTCAAATGCCTTAGGCACTACACCACCAGAGCTCCTATTAGTGGATCAGTGGTTCTTAAAATGTATTATACTTAAGGGTCACATGGGGATCTTGTTAAAATGTAGATTCTGATTTAGTATAACTGGGGTGGTAATACAAATTTTCAGCAGGGGTTCAAACCGGAAGGAATCATTTGAAGCCCCAGAGGAAAACCCTTGCATCTAGGATCCTTGCAGTAGCCTGTAAACTGAGTAAAGAGGGCAGCCAGGGTGATTTTACATTGATCCCTCTATGTGAAGGGATAAGGGTGTTCTTGTATGAAATCCATTTTCCATGAAACTCTGGGGAACCTCAGAGACAAACAAGCATCCCCATAAGCAAGAGAGTTCAATGGAATGATGAGAAAGACCAAGAGGAAACCTAGAATAATAAAAGCTAGATAAGACTTCCTATTTGTGGTCACCCCACCAGTTTCACTCAAATGCCAAGAGTTTGCTGCCATGAACCCAGCAGTCAGAGTCAGTATTGTAGTCCTTTTTTATAAGCTTGTCCTCACCCTGAAAAACATATTCTCTTGATCCCTAAGCAAAGTGCCTTCTTTCCCATGCCAAGATTCCCTCTGGATTTCTGCCATCCCCACCTAACCATAGTGTAAGGTTCCCTCCCTCCTGTGTGGTCAGAAGGAACAGAGATGCCCTTCTAGAAAGGGACACTGTATTCATGAAAAGAGGACAAGCTTTTGAAATAGAAAAGCTGGAGTCGAGTTAAACTGTGACAATTACCAGCTTGGGCAAATTACTATTACTTAAAAGAGTATCATAAGGATTATTGTGTAAAAAGGAAGTCATAATGCCTACACGTATGAGTGTGAGGGAGATTGTCTTTATATAAAGATACTAATCCTATGTCTGAAATGAGTGGTTTCTTATTATATGTTCCTTCCCTTTTTCGCAGTCTACTTTCTCCTAAATTTCATCCAGCATCAACTCAAGTATCTGATTCCCACTCAGTCACTATTTGACCATAGCAGTGAAACCTGCCTATTTGTGGTCACCAATCAGCTTCACTCAAATGCCAAGAGTTTGCCTCCATGAACCCGCCAGTCAGAGTCAGTATTTATAGTCCCTTTTTTTTTTTTTTTTTTTTACAAATACTACAAACACCATTGCTGGTGAATAATCTCATAGTGAATGACCACTCTTCAGTCCAAAGTCTTGGCCTACTCTGACAAATCCTTCCGAGTCTCTTTGGACAAAATTATAAATAACCCCATGCCCACTTTGTCCTGTCACTAGTAGTGGTATACACTTTATCTCCTCCTTCCCATTAGAGCAAGGAGATCTGGTGGCCTAGTGCCTAAGGCATTTGACTACTAACCAGAAAGAAGGATGGCAGTTCAAATCCACCAGCCACTTTGGGGAAGGAAGATGGGGGAATCTACTTCCGTAAAGATTTACTGCCTCGGAAACCCAATGAGGGTGGCTACAGTGAGTTTAATTTTTTTTTTTTTTCTTTTTTTCTGTTTCCCATTATAACATCTTCAGATTTGAGCCTGTGGCATGGGGAATGTCCTCACTTCATTACTGGAAAGTGGAAATAAGAATATAACATAGCCCTATTCCCCCAAAATAGGAAATCTATGGTGGAAGACTGTTCTCACATCATAGAGCTCACCAACCCCACACTCCATCCTAAAGGTCCCTCAGAGCCTGTTCCCCAGAGTGGTGGCTCTGGAGAGCAGCTGCCCTGCACTTACTTGGTGAGTCTATGCCCTCAGCCTTCGGGGTGCTCAGGATCATCAGCATCATCATCACAGCTGCTGTGCAAAGGCCTCTGGGGATCTGCGGAGCCATCTTTCCAGACAAAACGGAGAACAAGGGAAAAAGAGTAGTGGCAGTCAACACAGCTCACACCTGAGTGATCTGATATACCCACCTCAGAGGGTAAAAACTTGGGAATGCTTCCACATGCATTGGGATTGGAGAGTCACTAGGAAAGGAACCAATCAGCACTGGAGGTGAAGTATGTCATCTGTCTCTGGGCAAACACTTTTTATGAAGGTTCTCAATCCAATGTCTAGCACTGTGTCTCATCAAATTGTACTGGATGAACATTTGAGGTAAAGATTTCCTCTCAATTACAGAAGATCTCTTCACGGATCTGGAGAAAAGTGATTCAAGAGTAGACATCTCTGTGATGTTTATGTGAAATCTCTTGTTCTTATATGTGGATTTTTAGTAGGAGAAAATAAATGGGGACCGTTATTTCAGGGGAGAGAAGATTATTGTCATAGAGATATTCACTTCTCTTATCTCAGACACTCTGAGGGGCCTTGAGTGTGGAGGGAAGAGTATTTTTTAGAGAGAAATGGATTTGAGCTGCAGTTCCACCACCAGTTTGCTCTTTGAGTGTCCTTCCCTCACTCTCTCTTTCCCGTATGTTAGGTTCTTTTAAAATAGAGGACAAGATCTAAAAGCAGAATATTAGGAGTTTACCAAGTAAAAATAAATCAGGAAGAGACAACGAGTTTCTATTATCAGTGGCACATGAAGGTATTGATTTATTCCAATCCTCCATACTAGGTGCATAGCTCTAGAGGTCCAGGAACTGGGAAAACATGTCACTCTTCTTCCACCAGCAGTGATGTACACGGGATCAGAGTAACCCCAGCATAAGGAGGCTCTCCCCTGGTGCAATGGGAGCATAAAGGAGGGACATCAAACTCAGACTTGGAATGGGGTTAGGGTCCAAGGCAAATGTTCAGAGAAGGACCTTGAAGATGCCCTCAACCCCCAACCAGAGTCTCTCAGAGCAAATAGAGGCCTCTGCCCATCCCTCTCCCTTTTGCACGACATAGGAAAGTTCCTTCAATTCTGTTCCGGAGCTGTGCAGTGTAGGTTCCCTCAGACCTGGGGATTTCCCAATTGCACAGGCCTCTTCACATAGACTTTTCAACCAGCAACAAATGTGTCAGCTTAGAACCATTTTTTGATTGGCTTCATCTGACCAGCTCTGTTTTGGTCTTGTGCCAGCTAGCTGCTTCCACCTGACCCAGCATTCTTTAGAGTCCTCTACACTGTCCACTGGGAGCTCTGGTAGCATAGTGGCTAAGGCACTTGACTGCTAACCAGAAGGCTGGCGGTTCAAACCCACCAGCCACTCCTCAGAAGGGAGGTTGGACAATCCTACTTCCGTAGTGATACTGCCTTGGAAACCCAAGGAGGGGTCGCTATGAGTCAGGGCTGACTCGACGGCACATAACAACAA